TCTGCAGCAGCTTCCATGCCATTTTTGAGAATGGGAACCTTCCATGGACAGAGGTACAGATGAAAAACTAAGCATGAGGTTGCAGGTGGCAAATCTCAGCCCCAAAGCATGGCAGCAAAGTGCAAAGTGCCTGCCCCTCAATGTTTAAAGCAAGTTTGAATGAACGGATGGAATACCGTGATAAAAGTGTAATCTGTTCGTTTTCTGATATTTCGTTCTTCCCGTGGAGTCTCGTCGTGTTTTATGGTGCTCATTATCTCTGGTAGTCATTTTTGTATTCTGCAGGAGGATGTGTGTTGCTGGGGATGTATTGTTGGTTGCAAATTCCTTCCCCGTGTGTGTGTGTGTGTGTGTCTAATGCGGCGTGTGCCAATTCAATCCTGCTTTCCCGAAGATATATTTAGGAATTACCTATGCTCGACAAAGCACGCTTTTGCCATGGCAGCAGGTGGCCGTTTAGTGGCAATTTTAGAATCAAACGTCGCTGCGAATTATGTAGAGCGCGATGGAATTTTACAAAGCTATTTCTCTCCTTTTAAAATAAAATAAAATAAAATAAAAGAGAAACAGCTTCCCAGTGGATTGAAATGCATCGCTTGCTCATGTCAGGCTGCAGTAAAATGTCCTTGCGCCCCTGTCCTATTGGGCTAATTCTTCGCCATGGCGGTAATTTCCTTTTAAATACATTTTCCATACTTGAATAAACTGATCGCGTAAAGGACCAAGGTGAACTCGCGTGTGCTCTGTTGAAAACACAGGAGGCGGAAGCTCTTGGAAGATTCGTTTCTGACCAATTGGGTTAAATTCAGTGATTATGTGGTAGGAGCCCTTTCCTCAATTCCGCTCTTGTTAGCCTTGCTTCCTTCTTCGGTGACTCTTCGGCTGCCCTTATTAGTTTTTCTTTTTAGTCTCTGCATCCTTCTGGCAGATAGCTAGCTGCTGGGGTGAGATTTGAACCTCTGCAGTCTCCATCACAAAATAAGGCAGCCAGTGTTATTTGTCTCTGGTGGAGAAGCTCTCTGAGTGCACGCAAAGTAACAAAGATAGAACAGAATAGAACAGAACAGAACAGAACAGAACAGAATAGAATAGAATAGAATAGAATAGAATAATGGAATGGAGGAATAGAATAGAGTAGAGTAGAGTAGAGTAGAGTAGAGTAGAGTAGAGTAGAGTAGAGTAGAGTAGAGTAGAGTAGAGTAGAGTAGAGTAGAGTAGAGTAGAGTAGAGTAGAGTAGAGTAGAATAATGGAATGGAGGAATAGAGTAGAGTAGAGTAAAGTAGAGTAGAGTAGAGTAGAATAGAGTAGAGTAAAGTAGAGTAGAATAGAATAGAATAGAATAGAATAGAATAGAATAGAATAGAATAGAATAGAATAGAATAGAATAGAATAGAATAATGGAACCGAGGAATAGAGTAGAGTAGAGTAGAGTAGAGTAGAATGGAATAGAATAGAATAGAATAGAATAGAATAGAATAGAATAGAATAGAATAGAGTAGAGTAGAGTAGAGTAGAGTAGAGTAGAGTAGAATAGAATAGAATAGAATAGAATAGAATAGAATAGAATAGAATAGAATAGAATAATGGAATGGAGGAATAGACTAGAGTAAAGTAGAGTAGAGTAGAATAGAATAGAATAGAATAGAATAGAATAGAATAGAATAGAATAGAATAGAATAATGGAATGGAGGAATAGACTAGAGTAAAGTAGAGTAGAGTAGAGTAGAATAGAATAGAATAGAATAGAATAGAATAGAATAGAATAGAATAGAATAGAATAATGGAACGGAGGAATAGAATAGAATAGAGTAGAGTAGAATAGAGTAGAATAAAATAAAATAGAATAATGGAATGGAGGATAGACTAGAGTAGAGTAGAGTAGAGTAGAGTAGAGTAGAGTAGAGTAGAGTAGAGTAGAATAGAATAGAATAGAATAGAATAGAATAGAATAGAATAGAATAGAATAGCTCTCCGTTGCAAATTTATTTTATTTATTTATTAAATTTATATGTCGCCCCTCTCGCCAATAGGCTGACTCCGGTACTGATGCACTTGGACTATGTCCCAAACCTCACCACCACCCCAGTCTCCCCATGAAGGAAACCTAACGCATCCTGCTGGGAAAAATGCATTAACTGAGCATTAGGGCTGTGGGGTCCTCGACTGGATCGACTCAAACTGTCAAAACAAATCGAACTGGTTTTCTCAATTCAAATGGATATTTGAATCTGATTGTGCTGGATTCGCTGAAGCCCATGCAACATCCCGAGGACGGTGTTCGCCATTCAGTCGTGTTCGACTCTCGGCGATTCTATGAGCCCGGTCTCTCCACATTGTTGACCCGGACTTAGGGGACAGTATCAATTGTGAACACGTGCAGATGGCCCCGCTATCTCTGGCCACTTGCAGAACCATGAATGCAAGGTCATAAAAGAACAGCAAAGGAAACACCCAATATCCTAACCCTCCCGGGAACATATGGTCTCTTAGGGAAACACCTAAACCACTGTGGGAAGTCAGGCCCCCCCAGAGAAGGAAATATTAAAAGGGCAGAAAAATATATTTCCTCGAAGCATCTTAAAGAGTCAGAAAAGCATGCCCAGTTTTCTTAATAGCCCCAAGTCTCCTTCCCCCAAGCAGAAACCAGCTCTGTAGAAATGCAGATGTAAATAATCCATTCAGGAAGGTTGGAGCCCTCCAGCTAGAAGCTTAGGAAGACAAAGACACCTAAAATCTACACACCCCACTCAAACTCTAAGAAAGGACATAATAGGATTAACCCACAGATGCCAAAGGACACACCCAGACTCAGGTCAGAATACATGACACAGGAAATACAAAGCCTCAAACAGGAACAGGAAACAACTCCAAACAAAAGCCCCAGAGGGTATAAAAACCCACTCCCTACATGTGCTCACTCTCTTTTTCCTTCCAGAGCCTTCTTCCTGTCTGGCTCTCCTCTTCAATAAACTGCAACCTTCTTTCTAAAGCAGTCTCCATGTTGTTTATTCCCGGCTTGGACTGGACCCCGATGAAGAATTTTTCCTTCAGCATTGGGATTCTCAGATGTAGAAGGGAGAAGGGGGGGGGAATGCTTGAGTTTTTAAGTCAGCCTAAACAATTGCATCTGGGTGAGCTTCAAGGTCAATTCTAGATAAAGTTTTGGCTGGGCTGTGAAGTGGGGAGGAGAGCCCGCATTTTAGATTAATTGGTGAATGTGATTTAAGACAGCCTTTCTGGGGTGGGAATTGCAACTTGTGAAATTGTATGGGGGCGGGAGGGAACTTTAGTCTTGGGTTCAACTACGTAAGTGCCGATACTTTGTTCCCTGTATCAAATTAAGGAAGAAGTCTTTGCCTTGAAATTCTTTTAATTGGTTTCATCTATCGGAACCATGACACACAACTGCTTCATGCAGGCAATTCTCCTGCGTGGCCTGGCCGAAGTAAATGAGACACAGTTTTGTCATTTTGACTTCCAGTGACATGTCTGGGTTTGTGCTTGTTGGTCACCATAAACATATGTGTAATACTGTGATAGTACAGGGTCTTTTCCCCCCACCCCACCCCAAATACTGTCCCAACAGCAAACTGTTTTTAGATCCGTATTATTTCCCCTGCACTTTATAAAATGTTTATATGCACTTTAAAAAAAACCCAGCAAGAACAACAAGAACAATCCGTTCAGCTTTTAATGCTTTTAAAACAAAACATTTACAGCTTAAAGCTTCCACTCTGCAATTACGAACATTCTCTTCCCGGTTATATTTCATTTTCATCCATTAGGGAAATAAAATGTAAATTGTATAATCTTGTATTGTTGATGAAGTTTAATGCATATCGGGGGCAGAGAGAAGAGAACACACCATTAAAGAGAACAAATGGACGGCTACGGAAATTGATACCGGTTTGTTTGTTTGTTTGGTTGTTTCTCTTTTGCACGCAAGACTCTTTTGTGATCGTTGCCAGGCTTCAGGTTTGTTCCCGTTCAGACTATACTCACATATACTAAGTGCAGCCCATTCACAGGCTAGACTTAAATACAAGCATTTAGACCAGGGTGGTCCAACCTTTATTTGAATACTTCATTTGGCCAAGTGCTGTTAGACACACAAGGAATTTATCTCTAGTGCAGAAGCTCTCTGTGTGCATGCAAAGCAACAAAGGGATAGGATAAAATAGAATAGAATAGAATAGAATAGAAT